CCGCGGCGAGTCACCGTAGCCGGATAATCGTAGGTGCTAGCTCCGATATCGGTGAGATGAAAAACGCCGACGGTAATCCTTTCTGACTCACACACGAACACACGTGCGGACAAGTCCGTGCACCGAGAAACGAATGAACTCGCCCCTTCAAACAACAACCTATACACCGTGCAAACCATTTGAGAGTTTCCGACGGACTCTTCCGTCCGAAAGTAAAAACCTTTAGTTCGGACTCGCACACAAGTTGGTGCCCGCGTTAACCGTGAAAAAAAGTCAAAGGAACTTTGATTTTTCCGTTAGATTTCCCTTCGTGTCACGCAATAAGAAGACAAATGATTCATATTTCGGTATTTTAAAGCGCTGCCTATGTTTTGACAAGTATTAAAAAACTGAAGTTTTACACAAAACTCATGTGTTTATCAAATACTCTATTTCCTTCATACTTTTTCACTTACTGTAGCAATTACGTAATGTGAAAATATTGAAAATGTTGAAAAAAGATTGAGTGAAATGAACTAAGTCTTTGGGTTGAGTAAATTTGGTTGCATTAACTGCTCAATCGAGTCGAATAAAAATGAAATTCGTCCAACAATCTAATGTGGGAATTTCAACTAAAATGTCAAAGGTAAAAGATTAATAGAAACTGAAATGTAGTTATACGGACGTTATAACTGTATAATCTCCAACTAACGAAATATATTTATCTAACTGAGTAATATAAGTAACTCCATCCTCTGGATGGAAGGTTAAATAAATCAGACGATGAGAAGAATTAATATCATTGATAATTGGATGTTTACCTCCAATTCATTCAACAAATCGTTGCAACAGCTTCCTCAAAATTGTTGAATAAATTATACACAGTTCGGAAACACAACTCAGCGGCCATCGATAGGTTGCGCAGATAAATGTCCATCGCGGAGAGATATAAACGAGGAAGCTTCATCACTTGAAACTTATGATATGTGACCGTGTGTGTTACTGCCTGATACTTGATTATTTTTTGAAAGTTTCCTGATATCTTCAGTCGACTATTATATATTTATTGTCAAATTGAAATCGTGAATTTCTTTTGAATAATAAACGGCATTAGACATTCTTTAAATTAACGAAAAAGATTTTTTTCATTACAGTATGCACACATAGAGAAAGAATTTAATGAAATATCACATTATTATCTCTGATAATGTATGTAACTCGTTCAACTCGGGAGAAAAGTTGAGTTAAACTTCTTACTCATTACTACACTTAACAACTCATTCGATTACTCATTCGATTACTTTGCGGGATAGTTAAATTGACACCACGATTAATCAATTTTACTGAATACTTAGCTCGTTTGATACAAATAAGAGATCACAAGAATATCAAAATGATGCTGAATAAATTGAAACAATTAGTTCGTCATGTACAATCCCGTAACTGAGTTCGCTCAACTCTATTCTAGTTATTCCGATCGATTTCTTTTGAAATGTCGAGAACATTTCATCTCCAATTGCCTGCGACTATGCGCTTCACCTCGATCGCTTGCCTTTAACTGATTAATTCTCATTAAATATCGCATAAACGAATGCTGTAGATACTTTCGTCTCGCGATAAAGACTGATTTGGAGTCGCAAAATTATCTTTCACGAGCGATGAGGAGATTTGACGCGATGAGAGATTCGCGCACGTAAGGGGAATCTATCGCAATTAAGGCCGGCACCGCACACGGTTTGGAATTTTTTTTTTGATTCGATTACAATCTTCACAGAGATAAAGAGTCTGCTCTTTCGATAAGGTTTAAGGATGTTTCACGTTTGTTTACGTGCATCAGGTTGCGCGACGCTTGCGTTCTTAACGCGCCAAATATTTGCGAGTCTAATAATGCACGCAGCGTGACTGGGGAAAAGGGAAAAAAGAAAAGAGAACGAAAAGATTCGGGCTGCATATCGCGCGTTTTGTATTGATCGACAGAATTATAGCGAGAGAACGCTGTCTAATATTTATTTTTCCTTCATCTCTCTTTCTCTCGCTTTATTTATATAACAGAGATTTAAGCTAGTTATTATGTAACCATAAAAGAATTAAATTGATCGTCGTGAAGAGATAAAACGCTGCGTGAATGAGACTGTTCTTCAAGAATACGAGCAAGTTCTTATGAATTCCTGCCGATTCTGCGTTTGTTAAATTTCGAATTTTTTCTCACGATTATTACGGAATTATTATTGCAGAATTTTATTGCACGATTATTATTGCAAAAATGCGACTTGAATATCTTCGACTAACCTCTTAGTTTCACAAAAGAATAAAGAATAACGAACTCCTGATCCCATTTTAACCCTTTAAGGCGCATAATTCATGGAACATTCTAGTAGCTTTTTTAGTGCAATACTGTCAAAAACATTCTAAATAGCACATTTATAAGATTTCAACTGCCCGATCCTAAATGGATCCTACTAATATCAGTGATACTTAAAGGGTTAACTTTTCACTCAAATTCCTAATGAGCAAATTAATTTCTGAGATGGAGAAGTCTCTCTAAGATTATTAAGTTCTATTATAGATTAACATGTACACGATTTGATAATAAAATAACGTGAGAACAAAGTAGCAGTTGACTTACACTTCGAGACTGGCCCGGCCGAAATCCGGTAGCGGCGGATAAGGTACAATGATCGCAGCAAACGTGCCGATTTATTATATAGCGCGTCTCCTCGCACGGGGGCAAAGGCGTGATTCAAGCATTATCATAGATACGGAAAGCTGAAAGAGCCCGCGATAACGATCGATCTCGAGCTAAGTAGATGAAAACTCGAAACCCGACAGTCCGTAATATATTGCTCTCCATTATTTGAACAGATCTCACACAGATTTAACGGTGAACGCGCCGCGACGCCTATATCGCTCGAGCGTCAACACATATCGTCCGACTTGAACTCTTAAATACCACCACTGTTTAGGTTACGTCGCGCAAATGTATTGTGCACAATCATGCGTGACAAGAACGTCGTATAACAGTAAGAATGTAATAGAAATAGGCTTATGTAATTTTCAAAAGGAATTTTTTTCTTTATGAGCGAGCTATGTTTGCTTCTGTATGTCTTATCAATTCAATATTTCCACGATTTCTCGGAAATAAATATCTATTTTTGGGTAATCGAAGTAGAACGTTAATTATTTTGCAGACCAAAGAAATCAGAAAAGCTTCCTGGCCTTTTCGCAATAAAGAGTTCTCACTTCGCAAATGTCTAATATGGTAATACGGTAAATGTCTAATGTGGTAAACATCTAATATGGTGTCTAATATTGATATGGTATTTATACGGAGAGGGAGAGAGAGAGAGAAATAATTTTGCTCTTTTAGCAAAATCGTCGTTGCTACTGCATATTCGTAGTGACATCAAAAATATGTAGCTGACGTGATTAATTTTACAAATTATTTGTTATCAGAGCAAAAGTAATTTCGTTGCCAGGATAGAAAAAATTTGTTAAGTGTATTTGTGGTAAGAATCACATTAATTTGCTATTGATGCAAAATAATGTATCCTTAGCAAATTTATTTGTTATCGGAGCAAAACTGCAAATGCTTATATAAATCCATCATAGTTTTTATAGCAAAATAATTTGTAGATTCAGCAAATTATATCCAGGAAATAGTGATTAGTATTCTTAGCAAATTTTTTTATTATCCATATAATAACGGAAAGATTTTGCTAGACCAGCAAATTATTTTTCTTATTTTTCGTGTACGTGTTTCAACTTCATCGTCAAAGCTTACAACTCACAAAATCCTTTCCTCAAGAAGCCAGTGAGATAACAAAAAAATTGATGAAAAACTTATCTTACAGGATAATGGAAGACCCAAGGAACGTATCCAACAAAAAATATAAACAAAAAATTACATTTATTCTAGTTTAAGACTTGTTGAGGCAGATTTCTTCTTATGATCGCATGCTACCTTTGGAAAGCAGCTTCGAAAATTATGAAAAAATATCCTCAACTTCCAGACCTGCCCGATAGAATCAGATTTCTCTCGTTCTCTCTTGCAGCAATCTCCTGATGAAGCACGTCGCGCAGGTATCCGTTGTTTTCGCATCCTTGCGAGGATGTTCTCCTCCGGGTGTCAGCCATGCTGGATTCACCTATGTGTACCGTCAAAAAGTCTAAGGTCGCTGCTTATTCGTGATGCCACGAAGGCCTCGGTGTTCCCTTATCGAGGAGTGGTGGATTAACGTGCACGCCTTTGATCTCGCCGGCGGGGTCTTATCTAATCGTGTCCCTCTCTCCCGAGCGATTCCTTGCCGTTACCATCCCTGTGTGTGTGTGTTCCCCATTCCTCTCTCCATTCTGTATTTTGTGCGCATGTTACCGCCACGAACGACGCCACGCCGTAAGAACCGCATTCACACCGTGCGGCCGGCTTTCTCGACGTTACTTCTCGGCGCTTTTCTCGTTCCTTCTCCACGAATAATCACCACGCGTTAGTCGCTGCAAATCGTAAATGCTTGTCTCTTTCTCTCTTTCTCTCTTTCTCTTACACACATTCTAAATAATAAATCAAATTAATTTATATCATTGAAATTGGAATTGCTTTTTTGACTCCTTTTCCTTGATATTAGCGCACTTATGATAAAAGTAGTCAAGATGGAATGAGTATCGTGCTGTACGATGTATCGTGCTGTACATGTAATGCTCAATAATAAATGATTAAATTTCACTTCTGATTAAATTTTGATCACATAAGATATTTGCACCTCGTTGTGTCTCTACTTTGGCATACGCGGGACGTCTTCCTGTTTTAAGCAGAGCGGTTCAAGCAAAGTGTATACGCTTCTTGCGTTCGCCAAATCAGCGCGAAAATAATTACGAAACTTCGTTCCTTTACTTTATAATGTCGGCACACGATGTATGTATACGCACTCGCTGAAAACGTTATCTCCTTAACGTACTATTGACAAGAGAATCAGTACGATAGATATTAACCGCGTAATAACGTCGGCCGTTATCTTCTTTTTCAGGAAAGACGCGCACAAAAGACAAATACAGAGTGGTCTACACGGATTACCAGAGGCTGGAGCTCGAAAAGGAGTTCCATTTCAATCGTTACATCACAATGCGACGTAAGGCAGAGCTCGCCAAAACACTTGGATTAACGGAACGTCAGGTGAGTAAATTGTGCCGAACGGACACGTAGACGAATGACCTTTCTTCGCGGCGCTCGGATCCGCAAATATTTTCTCTGGATCGCGTTGTCATCCGCACTCGGTAATAAGCGCATATCGGAGATTACAACACGTAGGCCCGTATTAATAGTTATTATTTGAAACTTGTCTCCAGTGAGATACTCAGATTTCAATTCAGTGTTAGATGAGAGCTTTTTTCAGAATCACGATTTTTTTGAATCACGATTACAGATACACTGTAAAAACTGATGTGTTAAATTTAACACATTTCATGTGTCATCATCCTCTCTCATTTATGTATAAATTTAACACAAAACAAATGTGTTAAAAAGTAACGTATAATATGGAAAAAATTAACACAAGAATTTAACACTTGAATATCATTAGGAATCACAGGTTGTATTAAATTGATATATTTAATATGTCAGACATAGATTATGTCAATTTAACATTTTCATTTCATCAAAACCATGTAGTACTTCTTTCAAATGTTAAAGTAATGTTTTATTTTAGTTAATTTAATATCATACATATGTCAATTTAACACAAATTGTGATTCCTGACGGTATTCAAGTGTTAAATTTTTATATATTAGACGTGTTACTTTTTGCCATATTTGTTTTGTGTTAAATTTACACATAAATGAGAGTGGATGATTTGGGACACATGAAATGTTAAATTTAACACATCAGTTTTTACAGTGTATAAATGTTATATATAATTACAGGATATAAATGTCACGCATATAATTCAACTGAAAAACTTGAATCTATTAGGTGCACAAATTAATTCAATGCTCCTAATTTTATGCATCCTTAAATATCATTTAAAATTACTTAAATATTTTACTATGCTATATTTCAGATTTCGTGCCACTAATATCCTTCGCAAAACGTAAGATGATAAAACCAGTAATATATAAAGAACAAATATTAATAAACACAATTGTTGCCGACACACACACCTACACGTACAAACACATACACAATATGCGTATTCGTCATGCTATACTTTTTGCATCTCAATTGGAGCCGCTAAAGCTGCTGAAATGCGGCTAACAATACCTCAAGCGATTGACCAATGGATTAGAGAACAAAAGACAGATTACTAAACAAAGAAATCGAAATGTTGTTTTACAACATGATAACGCTTGACTGCGCGTAGCAAACGGAATTAAAAAGATCATCTTTAATCTTTACACTGTGGAAAGATCTTTACGCGGCTTATTTGTCAGAATTGGTCCCTTCACATTACCATCTGTTTCGATTTTGCCAACATCACTCATCAGATACGCACTTTTGAGAAATTTGAAATATTAAAAATCGCATAGATAATTTTATCAAAATTGACTCAAAATTGCCCAGCTTTTATCGAGATGGAATTGAACAATTATCCAAAAGATAGCGCAAAGTCATTGAAAATAATTGAGATTGTTTTGTTAATTGAAAATGTAACTCTTTTTGTAAATAAATTTTTATTCTTCTAAGAAAAGACCGAATTAATCTTTACACCTAATAACTCTGAATAAAAATCAGAGTATCTGATATGAGACAAGTTTCGGATGACAACTATTAATATAATTTTAGATTGAACTATGTTTAAGTTCAATGTGTTTATTCAACGTGTTTGACTTCAAATCAGATGCAAAATTTAATGCCAAGATCGTGATTATTACTCACAAGTAGATGTTAATTAAAATTGTAATTTTTCACATAATTTATATGTGTAATTGTGTGTTTAATTACATAATTAATGCTTCTATAACTGCAATTTATGTATATTTAAATTCAAGCAATAAGCTGTCTAACATTTGTTTGAAACTATGCAATAAAATGCAAATTAAGATATTTTTAATCCTGACATAGCATTTTAATCTGCCATACACTGGACTAATTTTTGTTCTCATTTATTTTCGTAAAAGCACTAATAGATATTTATGAAAAATTATAAATATACTTTTCAGTCTATAGAATAGAATTATGTAAAAAGAAATAATTGCAAATTTTCACTCAAGTATTTCATTTCTGTTGTGAATATATAAAGAGAAACGTAGTTTACATAGAAATTTACAACTTTTCTAAAAATGTATTTAAGAATTCAACATTTGCTTGTTGATATTTGAACTTTTAAGAATAAAGAATATTAAATATTTTAATTGAGTATATAAAATATATCGTTCTTTTTCAGTCAAGAGACAAATAAAATAAATAATAGTTTCAAATTTGTAATATATTAATCTTATATTATATATAATATGGATATATAAAAATTGTTACAAAAATTAGCTCTTCCTGATTCTTCTTGTTTTGTTCGTGATTAAAGTTTGATGAATTCTAATCATGAACTTTAATCATAAAAACCTTGATAACATGTAATATATAGCCAGTAATAAATAAACTATTTAAGTAAAATTTTTCTTATACATATATTACATTTTTTGTGAAGAATCGGAATAACGAAAACTCATTTTTATTTTATACTTCGACAGTTTAATGTGGCACGCTAAGATCAGAGACAACCCCAGAGGAACTTTGTTTTTTTATTACAGATAACTGGAATAGCTAATTGTGTTTACATCTAATATTCTCCATGACTATAACTTTTTTCAGCGCGGGAAACAAAGATCGGAAACGATCCCTGTGCTAGATTAGGGTTAAGCAAATTTAACGTTAAAATAAAAGTAGAAAAATGTCCCAAACTTTAGTAGCTTCTGTATCGAGACGCTCATATTGGTCACAGTGGCTGCCCGAGTATGAGGCGATTAAACCCGATGGTTAGAACGGTTTCTTTTGCACAGGTGAAGATATGGTTCCAAAATCGCCGAGCGAAGGAACGTAAGCTGCAAAAAAAGCGCGACGAGCAGATGAAGGGAGAGTCACAGCAACAGACGGTGAGAACGTCCGGCAGGATAATCGAGGGTGCTGCGGGTGGTGGTGTCGTGGTGCACAACAACCCCGTGCCCCTGAATATCAATTCGGTGCCTCTGAACATGGGCCATTCGCAGCACGGTCTGCACGGTCCGCTGGTGCACGCTCCCCCGGGTCTCCATCTGCATCTACAGAACGGGTACCCGCATCAGACCGGACACGCGTATCAGAACAGTTGCGTGTATCAGAACGGCATCACGTCGCAGGGCGAGCAGTTGTATCAAAACGGGCTGCCGCCGTCCGACGAACCGCCGTCTCAGCAGAATACGCACTTGTACCAGAACGGGTTGTCGCCGACTGACGGACCGTCGCCTCCGGACTCGCAGCTGTACTCGAATGGGATGTCGCCTCAGAACGAGCCCTCGCCGCAGGACGGACAAGCGCCGCGGAATTCGATGCACTCGTCACAGAACGAGCGCACTTATCACGGCGGGCCGTCGCCCACGGCGGGATCCTCGCAACAGAGCGTGCTGTCGCCGCACCAGGTACTTTCGCCTCAGCACAGACACTCGTCGCCTCAGAGCGTCACCTCGTATCCGAGCGAGCACTTGCAGCACGGCATGCACCCGCATCAAAGTCGACACGCACATTAGATACGCATATTCCCTCGCGTCGCAATGGATGAGTATGAACGATCGTTCGCGTTTCGCGGCTCTCATCGGCATATACTGGACTTGATTTCGTTAACTTGCTCTCGTCCGCCGTAAACGAACTCGTCGGCCACGGAGCCACGATCGTGCAACGATCAACCATCGAGACGGCGCGTCACCCTTAACTTCCGTTCGCCTTCTTCCTCGATTCGCCTTTCTTCCTCTTTGCGTTCTTTCGTTGCACCTGGTGTCAACAGCCGACGGGTTCGGCACTTCTCGCGCGAGGGTCAAAGGTAAATCTATGAAAGAGAGTTCAAAGTTTGCCTTAAACCACAGACGCGCGCGTCGAATGGTTGTTATAGTCACTTAAGTTAAGTCTAGATATTAGGCTGCAGAGATTACGCAACGCGTTACTCCCGCGCGCATTGCACACACACACATACAACGCCCTATACCTGTACATTTCAAACAACATAGCGTATCGTTCTGTATGATATTTCTTTCTTTTTAAGTTTAGCTGCGAAACTGATCGTTGGAGCTAATAACAATGCTGTACGGTGCGTTATTTAAAAGAACTTAACTTATGTCTTTATTTTTTATTTCTATTTTTACCTTTAACTTATATAATTTATGTCAATGTTGACTAGCGTTTAACTTAGGAGACGTAGTACGGTAATCCTCTAAGATTCTAAGAGTCGTAGTCCTTAGACGACCATTAATTACCTCGTCTCGATGTCTTATGGACTTTGTATTACTTGAAAGAGAAGCAGAATCAACTAATCGAGTCCATTGTCAATACCTGTAGTGTCAAATGTAAAATAACTGTCGAGCCAGTTCAGCCACGATCGTACGTCGTGATCACGAAATTGCACGGGACGAAAGCGATCGTATTAGATAGCGCGACAATGTATGTTGATAACGCCAGTCGATCTTTGTGCTCCGAAGAAAGCACAAACAAAAAAGGATGAAGTCCAGATTGTGCCTTAAACCACAGACGGGAGCATCGAATGTGGTTGTTACAGCAGCTTAGTTAAATTTAGACGTTAAATTGTTGAAACGAGCGTCTCTTCCGCGCGAATTCTGGGATATTTGCGTGTTCCAAGGGGCACCGTAGCAGATTATATTGCACAATATTTTCTGAAATTTTATAGTATAAGTGAAGTGCATTTGAAAATGTACACACACACATACACACACACTCACGCGTAGAATGTCGCGTGCAAATTTTCACTTAGCGAATAGTCCGAGCACGACAGGTATTTGAACGCATCTCTAAAGGCCGATTCAAACTATACAGGCATACTCTGTAACATAAATACCCGTAAGAATGTCTAGAAAATATAAACCATTACACTTTTTGTTGCGAGACGAGGTGAGGCGAGACACTTAAGTATCCGCTTAATCTAAATGGGCACTTAAAAAAGGAAAGTAGATCATGTATACTCATTTTGTACATTGTCTTTAAGACACACAATATCGTTCGCATGTTTATATTTAAATCGATGATTTGAAACTCGTGAACCTTCTTTCATAAAAACAGGACAGGTAAGGGAAAACGTCCAGTAGTCAGCACTCTGTTCTGTTTTCTGCACCGCTTTCGACACTCTCGCGCAAAATATTACAAAATATTAAAATGTATGGAAATTAAATAATAGATAACAATTGATAAGCAACTGATAAATCCCCATATATCTTAATATTTATTCAAATCCGCGCGAGAATGGTGAAAACTGACGAACGCCGCAACGAGTGTCGATTACTGCACGCTTTCTCCTAATATTATAGAACTGTACGGAATCTTATCTTTCAGTGTAATTCAGTTATTCCTTAGGTTCGAATTGTGTCTTCTGGGGAAAACGAAATAATTGGGAAATCTCTCCGAATAATTTCATAATACCTACTCAGTGAAAATACTATTCGATATATACTATATCGAACATAATGATTGCATGGGAAAAAGATTTGTTGGCATATCATATTTTGTTCTTTATTGTATGTGAACATTTTAAGGAATTTTTTTATATAGAAATGATATAGAATGATATAGAATTATATCGAATTATATAGAATGATATGGACATTTTGCCACAAATTTGCAAAAAGATGTTTTTACTGGATGAACAATTGAATTTGATTAATTCTACACAAAATCTATTAATCCGTGTCTTGAAGACGTAAATTCCCTCGCGCGCGCGCGCGCGCAAATATCCTACACATGCATATGATTTCAAAATGAACGGCACGAGAAACAAGAATTAGGAAATATTTTGAAAATCATGTCTACGCGCACGAGCGTATCAAATTTATAATGTCGAACTAATATCTCATCAGTAATTGTATGAGACGAGTTTTGCACTGTTTGTCGATTTGTTCCGACACAGCGAATGAATTTATTTCTACGAACAAATTTATTCAACAAGGTTTTTGTTATTCTCCTAAAAAACCATTTATTTTGTTATGATATATTTGTTATATATGTGTTGTTAATATTATATTATATATGTTTAATGTCGAAAAATTTTAACGCGGAAACAGGCAATGTTTTTGCTTTAACAGCAAATAAATGTATTACCGCTATAACACAAATTTACACAAGGACAGAATTGCTTTAATCCACCGTTAAAAGAGAATTCCGTTGTAATACCGAGTAATTCGGCAAATTAGTTTAACCAGCGATATTTTCGTTGTCGTCACCGCAGGATGCAGCAGCGACGACTATTTCACCGCAGAGGCGAAATTCTTCATCCTCCGCGGCGCGTAAAGCAAGGATGCGCGTACGGCAAAAGGATTCCAGATACATACACAGGGCGGACGTTTTATTACAGTTTTCATCCGCAGATTAGCCCCTTTGGAACCATCGATACCCGATTCAGGCGCTTTTATAGCCCCCTCATAAAAGTATCTATTTGGTGTTTTCGACTGGGCCGACTGGCCCGCAGCAAGTCGAACAAAAAGGCATCTTCCGCGTATACCTAGGAATTTCGAGGTATATACGTAAAGCGATGTTACGTCTCGGGCTCCAATTACGCACGGATTGCCGACCGGGAGTCGTCCTTTCAGGATCCGAATCGGTCCGTGCCGCTTCCCCGGTTTTTCTTACCGTTATCCTGGACGCGCTCTCGCTCTTCCCACATGCGTCGCGCGCCGCGTATCGGGACGCTCTCCGCGGCAGCCTTTTGTAGTTTCGTCACGTTTGAAAAAATATGGCAAGAAGATCTCTATCTTTATACCGTCTTCGTTGCGACACCACAATGGTGGATAGACCATAAAATGAAGAAAGAATTTATATATTTTTCACGTAAAAAAAACATATTTTTCAACTCTGTTATATTCAATTGATCGTTTCTTGCGCGACAGTGCTGAAACTCATATGAGTGCTGAAACTCATACTTGACGGCATATAATTAAACGCGATTATAATTTTCTTGATGCACTTCTCCTCATCGAAACAAATATAATTAATGACGTATTGATGTATTGACGTCTTTATCAAAAGGTGACCAGATTTCCCAACCTCAGATCTTGGACTCTTCGTAAATATGTCGAACGGGGAAGAGTAGGAGATAAAAGAATCACTGAAAATATATATACAGGATGTAAGGCTAAAGATGTTACATACTGTTATGTTGACAATTAAAAAATTAAAGTATCCTTAAATTTACCCCAACGACACCAATCTAGGAAAAGGCTAACTTCATCAATTTTTGATTACCAAACAATTGATTGAAAACAAAAATTTCATATTTCGCTTGGTTTTAGAAATAATAGCCTGTCACAGCTTTATACACAACACACGCAATATTTTATTTATAGACATATAAAAAATAATTTAACAGTGAACAACAATGAACACCTACTACAATAGAAGTAAAAACTATTATTAAGACAAAAGTGTTTTTATTCTTATTTAAAATTAAAAAGAATAAGTAAAAGTATTTACCGCTGTGAATTTTTTTAAGAAGATTTCGCTTTGTAAGAAAGAGTACCTTAAGAATCTTATTGATTGGGATAAACCGAGATAGTTTGGCCAAATATGGGACAAATCGGCGCCGCGGATAGCATCCGAAAGAATGCGGGACAAAGGATAAAAAAACCGGGACTTTCCCGGGAAAAACGGGACGTCTGGTCATCTTAATAAAACGCGTCTACGTTGCAAAAGACGAGATTCATATTCGTTTTTATTTATTGGCCTGTGTTTTATAAACGAGCGGCGATCGCGCCTTTGTCGGCGGAAGATGTGGTGGAATCAATTTGATTTGTATGCGCGCCTTTTAACTGTAAACCAGAAATATATTTGCAGCCGTCGATACCCTACCTATAATGCATAAAACATGTAACACGCTGGATTTCCATTAACCCTAGAATACCAGGATCGAATGTGTAAATGCATAAAAATGCATAAAGTGAAGAAGCTCCTGCCAAGATCCTTATTGCGCAATGTTGCGAGATACGACGTGCCGTTTCGGCGTAAATGTTTACATATTTATAACATGTATGTTTGTCTAGACGCGTGTGCGAATAGATTCCCGTCGCGCGATAACCTTTTTTTTGTTTCTTATTTTTTTGTTTTTCGAGAGACGCGGTCTTTGACAAATAAATCCGCGCGCTGCGAATAGCAGTGAAGACACACACGACGCGGCGGCGGTGTGCAATTAAATTTCGATGCCGTCATTTTTTCATGTCATCGGCTACGTCTCTGTTGGAGACTACGATGCGACTGCAATGGCGGGCCATTGTGCGCATCGAACCCTCGTACAATCAGCGGCGCAGCTATAACTGGAGCATAGATATCTCGTTATGCAGCGGGCCCATTAATTTCTCCACGGCGCCCATTTCTCATGCCGTCGCGCGCAATCGTCGGATTCACTCGAGACCGCATGTTTCATTCGCGTTCTGTTTGTTAACGGGACTATTTCGGCAGGGACGAAATGAAACGTCAGCCTCGTGGACAAACACACAGCCGCGATACAAATATTATTTCAAAAATAGAAGCTGACTTGCATTATTTTTATATATTATTTAAAATCTCTTAGAAGAGAACGATTGCGATAATGCTACACTGAGAAAAGGAAGTGATGGAATCGATGGGGCGAACGGAATTTGTATGAGTAAACGTTTAATTGATTGAATTAATTGTATAGTTGCTACGATGAGTTATCAATTGACTCAATAATGACAATTTAGTTAGCAACTATGCCAATATAAGGTTGCGCTAACGCGAAATTTGTTCAATTAATACAATATTACGAATTTATTATTATTATGATTATTATTATTACTATAATAATATCAATAATAATAATTGAAGAAACAATAATAATTATTAATATTACTTTTCTTAACGAGAAAATGACAGCATCGATTTAATCTATTACTTTTTCCTCTCAGTGCAGTAAATTCGAGTTGAAGAGCATTTTAAGAATGTATTGCTTATATTGCTTATATAATCCCTGCAAAAAGTAACTGAATATTAGAAATACTCTAATATCGTTACTTTCTGTATAAAAACGTATAATATGTACGATACGATTGAATAACAACATATTTTTACTTTGACATTACATTTTTATAATTTATTTACTTCATTCCTGCCTTTTAAATTTTTATCTTTGGATCACAATGAAATTTTGCATATATCATTTTGAATGCTTTTGAATACTTTAAAGTACATATATACGCTAATAATAAAAAATACTTGAAAATTTATTTGTATGATATAAATTTATTTCTGTTAAATAAAGTCTGTTTATATGAAATAAAGTTTATTTTTATCAAATAAACTTTATATTCCACAAATAAGTTTTCAAGTAATTTTCTTTTCAGCAAAAGCAAAGATTTCTATCATAATTTGATTTAATACACTCAAGTAACAGGATGACGTTAAATGACATATACTGAAAGATAAATATTAAAAAATTTTATTTATGAGATATAAAGTCTATTTCTGTAACTTTTATATTCCGCAAATTCTCAAATATTTTTTTCTCAGTGCGTATATAACGTATTACTGACGTCAGAGATGCTATTAATGTCTTATTGAAACATCATGTTTGCTGAGCTTATGCTTCAAAATGGAATTTTTAACCCAGACTCTGAACCAATGTCAAATTGTTTGTGACCATACACTTGCAATATTAACATTTCTCAACATTTACTCGTGATGTTTAAGATATGAGCAATACACCCTTAAACGTGTTTTGTAGTATAACATCTCTTTATGCACAACACAACAGAGCAAAAGCGACATACATGCTGTGTGTATCACTCGGACGATATCAGATGTTGTTCCCTTGATTGCGAATTTCTCTCTGGTCGATCCTAAATTAACATTTTCCCCAGCAGAAAAATGTCGAGGTCGGTAGCTGCCATCGAGAGCACTTTCGACGGTCGTGTTTACCGAACGAGCTAGCTACAGTAGAAACGCGCGTCTCGTCTCTCACCGGAAAGAAATCAAACCGTCGACCCGCCGGTGTCCCATAACCGCGCAAAGTTGTTCCTGGTTCTCGCTTGGACGAGGAGGGCAGAGGAGGACCGCCGACAGGGCGACTCGGTTGTCGAAGCGTCGGGGGTTGGTTTCAGGGGATGAGGTGGGCTGGTGCGGGTCGGACATCGATCTGGTAGTTAACTTCAGTGCCCCCGCGGGACTCGTTGCCACCTTCGTCTGCTTCGCGCCGGTATGCGTGGATGGGATACGGCCGTTGTGGAACGCGCGCGTCTCCTCCATCTCTGTGAACGTTTCGCTCTCGCATAAAGCGCATTACATGGCGCTTTTGCGTTTGCGTTTATGCGCGTTTACGTATAGCGAGGGGGCCGGTTTAATCGGAGCTGATTTCATCGGTCACCAGCGACCGGAAGCTCCTCCGTCGTGGAGCAGCTTTGAGAGAATCTCAATGACGGCGACAGCGATAATGGTCAAGGTAGAGTCGAAACAAATCGGGACTTCTGTAAATCTACACGGAGAGAATTTTAACAGTAAAATTTACTACAGGACTTTGTAACCGAGAGGAATAGATAAACGTTCTGCGGTAATTTACACCATCCTTTCATGTTATCCTTACTACTTATATATTTTAGAAAGTGAAATATGTTATTGAATCATTTGCTATGTTTCTAGTGAAACTTTATGAATATTTCTTGGCACAATAAACCTTACTGATAGTTTATACTTGAATTACTAAAAACATAGTAAAGTTGAAAAGAATTTATATGAAAAAGTACTATAACATTCTTTCCGTGTGGTAATATCCTGATGACAGAATCTTTATTAATACAACTCACGCATTGTTTTTCGCTCTTATACAATTACAAGTCGTGCAATACATTGTTACCGTACAAATTTTATAAAAAAAAATTCATATTCATACATCATTATATTAATGCTAAAAATGTACAATGATATATTGTTATGATACAACTGGAGCAAAATCGGCGTTTTATTCTGCTCGGCAACGCTTTTAAATTCTTTTTTTATTGTAATAACGAACATCGTTCTCTGAGTCTCATATTAATATTATCATTATTAATTTAATATTCGTCTATTTGGTTTTTCTATATTATCTTCCTTTCTCTCTCTCTCTCTCTCTCTCTCTCTCTCTCTCTCTCTCTCTCTCTCTCTCTCTTTCTCTCTCTCTCTCTCTCATATGTCATGAAACAACGTACAATATTATATCTAAAGCCGATGGCACGCAGTGAGTGTTTCCGTGCTGCATTGCATGCAAACTAGTAAATTATTAAAAGTACACTACATAGAACACAACATTTCCAATATATTACGAAGTTTATAATTACATACTGACCGAAATGGTGACGCTCAGTGGTTGGAATCAGTTTGTTGTATAAATAATTAATTGCAAAAAATGTAATTGTTGATCATAAAATAAACTGTACAATAGTTTACTGCCAAAACATTGTTATAATAAAAGCGTATATATTTATAACATAAATCATTATTATTATTAATAGTAAATCATATTATTTCATTAAGTTACATAATTACGATATTGACATAACATAATATATCATAAATTGTTGTGTGTTATAATGTTATTAATATGAAATGATATAATGTTATCAATATAACGTTATAAACATGAAATGTCTAAGAAAGAACGATCATAAAATAAATAATAATAAGCTCTCTCCCTGGTAGAAATGTATGCAGTTTATGTAGACATCTGCTCAATTATCGTCTAGTGTTAATGCATTCCCATTAATTGTAGAAATAATGCGTAGCAATTGGACAAGAACTGGATGCAGTGGTGGGAACAGTTTACTGTATAATATGTGAACCGATTCTTTCCAAGTATCAGCAATATTAATTCAATATTTTATAAAGCGCAACGTGTTATAATGTCTATAGTGAATAAACATAAAAATATTTATTTATATTGTTAGAAAAGAGCTTAAATGCGAACAATGAATGAACGTATAAGAAAGTATAGAGCAAGAAAAAGGAAATTGAAGAAAATAAGGCATTTGACAATATTAAGCTCTGTGACAAAGGTGATAATAAAGGTTATGAATGAAAGTGAGCAAAAGACAAATGGGACATATGTTAATAATACAAAATTTCATTGTGATGAGAACAGACTAACGATACTAATGATGCAAATGAGAACTGTTATGATAGCTCAGACTCAGAGCTAAAATAGTACAAGAATGGATAAAAAGACAAATGTTGTTTGATGGTTGTGAACAACATCATGTAAAAGACGAAAAACATGAAAATATATATTACGCATGAAAATTTTCCTGCGCTATGACTTTCATTAGTATTAACATTTTTCATTAGCATTAACATTTTTCAATTAAAAATCATACATCGAAAATAAAATAAAACACCACCAGATTAACTTGTCTATAAGTAGCAGACTTAATTATTCATCAGTCGAATAGTTTTGTGTCCGTTTTCTGTTCTACTTTTTATAGTTATACTTTTAGTAAATAGGTTCAGATTTTGCGCATCTTTCGTGTGCAGTAATTGCAGGAAAAATGTTACATCTTTGCTGGGATCCCAAGTAGTTTTATTCTTCAATTATTAGACAAAACTATACATAACTATACAGCAACCATTTGAAAACTGCATTAAATTTCTGCCAGGGCTCCTTTAGGTTGAGATCTTGACTTTTAAAATTCAATACTGATTATTAAATGAATATTTTAGACATATTTCAATGATAAATTACATTATTTCATCGATGTTATGACAATATCCACCAACTATATTGTGCTATCAATTAATGATATCTTATATAAAAACTATTTGTCAAGTAGTTTCTCAATTTTAACGAAATGGTATGTAGATGAGTTATTATTATCAGAATTATAAAATAAGCAAAGAAAAAACTCATATATCAACATTGTCATCATTAGACACGTAGATTCTGGAAAATCAATCATCACTGAATATTTAATCTATAAATACGGTGATGTCGATAAATATACGATTGAAAAATTCGATTGAATTAATTAATTGAATTTAAATTGATTGAATCGATTGGTATTAAATGATATGATTGAAAAAAGGCAAATAATCTTTTAAATATGTTTAAATATTGAATAGTAGCTTAAATATAGAAAGTTGAAAACCGAGAGAAAACTAACGCAAACACGGTATCATCATTGATATCGCTTTGTGGAAATTTGAAATTCCCAAATATTATATTATCATTACCAATGGTACCATTATTGCAAACATAGGAACTTCATAAAAAATTATTCACAAGTACCTTGCAAGCCAACTGCGCTGTACTTATTGTCACTGCAGATACTAGTAAATTTAAGATAGATATCTCAAAGAATAGATAGACGCGCGAGCATACTCTACTCGCTTTCATACTTGGCATAAAACAACTGATTGTTGGTGTTAATAAAATAGACTCGACTGAGCCTCGTTACCCCGATTTAAAGAAATTAAGAAGGAAATACTATTCTACATCAAAAAGTTTGGCTAGAATTCTACTGTAACTGCTGTAGCATTTGTATCTATCTCTGGCTGACATGGAGATCATATGCTGGTACATGAAGGTGTTTGCTAAAACCCTCTGGTTCAAAATGGAGTTTGGACAGTGGAGCAGAAAAAGGTAAGGTAAACTAAAGATAAACGTTGTATCAAAGTTTTACGCATTTTGTTATCTTGCCATATATAAATGATAAATTATACATATTATTTTATTAAATTATATAACATTAAGAACGTAAAATATACCTAAGAAAAAATGTCTATAAAAAATTGTAATGACTCTCTCTTCCTTAAACTCTTGAATTTTGAGACTCAATACCGATATACAAGATGTCCGACGGTAATATTATCCTTCGTGTACATATAAATTGGTTGAGTAAACAAGAAAAACTTATACTATTTTGTGAACAACCACTTGTAATTTTAAAGGAGATTGGCATATAATGACATGCGATGCAGTGAACAAGAGCTCTATAAGAGTAACGATAATCTCATAATAGCAAATGGTACCGATTGTTGTAAAATAATACAGATTGTTATAAAAAGATATAGGAAAATCTCCTATTGTTTTCCGTATAAAAAAGTGAATACGAGATATTTTACTGACACAAATGTATCAGAATAAAATGTAAAATATCATAGAAAACATTTTCGATAATTATTCTTTTCAATATTTTTATACGCAGAACAGACATAGAAATCCACTGGATGAGAAAAAACTATTTGATTCCATTTAAAAAAGCGAAGATTTAAAAGATATTTTAATGTAATTAAATATTACCATCTTATATTTCCTTCGAAATCTTAATAACTTTTGCTTGATACATTTTTTCAGAAAATTTTGCCTTTTAAAGATATTCACCAAAAATATTTCAGAGTAAAAAATAAAATAGGACATCCTCTGCGAATACATATATAATTGTATGTGTATATATATTTTTTGTCCATTGAATATTATTAAATATTATATTTTTAAAGTTGAAATTGTGCATATATTTCAATGAAGAAACAATTAGCGCTTGGTCTTAAAGAGTTTATTTAAATGCTCGTTAGATGTTTTCTTTTAAGCGTTAAACAATGAGTCCATTTGCAATTTTTTAAAGATTTAAAATATTTTTCTTTTTATATTTCCAGGTAAAGGAGATCTTGCCGTGATTGAATACCGATGTCGGTTATTTCATCGTTACGTAACGATAGAATCGTTTCGAAAGAGAGATATAATATAGTTGAATACCAAGGACGAAACCGTGATCGTAAACTCGTAAACATTAGTCGGAAATTCGCGTTTCTGACCGGAATTGCAGATAATTTTATAATAGTTCTCTTATGTTAGATACTTCGCTTTTCAGTCCATCTTAATACTTAAAACTCTATAGTAAAAACTTAGTCTTAAAAATTTAATAATAAAATAAAAAATGGTGGCGTATATATATAATTTCATAATGCGATAATATGAAGAATAGTCATATCTATATATTTTCCGATATCCGAGCTGCTAGAATGAAAAGTTTTACCGAGTTATAGCTCGACTTCTGGATGCGAAGAGAATTATTTTAAATATTTTACACAAATTTTGCGTTAAAAAATAATAGACAAATAAAAAATGTGGTTAATAATTTTACTGCCTATATAATAACTAACGAAATTTTCTACTACAAATAGAAAGTATGCTGCGGCGGCAAATTTTCGTCATATGTGAATTCCAAATATCTTTTTCTTTTCATCGTTATTGCTGTGAGAAAACCCCGATTCCTTCAATAATTTATGCATTCTTTACGCACACACAAATTTATTTTTTTTAATTTTTGTTCACCCATTGACAAATAATGCCTTTAATCCATTTTTATTTTAATATTCAATTTAAAAACTCAAAAGCGCTTTTGCCACAAATAAATTCTTATTTTTTAACATTTTTGGGAAAAATAGAAAGTCTTCATGTGAAAGTCAAAATGTTTGAATCTATTGACAATTTCATAGCAACGTGTAATGCGTAATACTGTGACCGTGAATGCGTACAATTTGCCCCTCCTCCCTTCTTGCCGTCGCTAGAAGATTGTCAATAAATCCAGATATCTTGGGTAAGACTTTGCCTAAGGAGCTCATTCCACCTCATCACACGCACTTATTTGTTCTAATTTTCTTTAATTAGCATCACGATAATTATCGTGATTATTTGCAAATAATATCCAGGACTTTTTCGTTTAGTTATTGAACTATCTCGTCGTTTAATTATCTGTATAATTACCGTAGTTGTTTGAAAAATGAGTTAGAATTTTCTCGTTCAATTTGATGATTTTTACTTACGGAGCAAACACGTTGTCTCAGACATTTTGTACATATTGTTAAGTTGTTTATTTGAAAATAAAAGTCTAACTAATCTGCACGTGTGTAGTGTATGTGAGTCGTGAGTTGTGATGTATAAAAATAAAATTGATACTGAAGTTGTCCTCTAGCCTGTTCTGTGAGTGGTATTATTTGTAAATAAAACTTGTAAATAAAACTATCCTCTGTCTTTATCGTAGAATTGTATTATTTGAAAAATAAATAGTCTTCTGGCATATCGTATAGAGTCGTAATTATTTTAAGAAATTAATAAGCTTTCTAGCTTGTGTGTCTTCAAATTTTATTACGATTTCAACTTTAAGAGGATGCTAAAGCTGAAAACTTTACTCATAGAATACTGACATTTTTCTGCAAAGTTTACGTCGTATTGGTTATATAGAATTATAAATATTTTTGCGTAATAAAAGTGCGTGCAAAAATTAATTGGAGCATTGCTCAATATGACGAGAACAGAAATAATTTAAGTGTAAAATCTCAAACTCAGTTAACGTAATATTTATCTATATATAATCCAAACGTTCTACAGCTTGTATATACTGAAAGTGTGGATAAACAGAAAAATTTTAAGAAACATTGTTGTACAATATTCTTCAAAATTTTTCTGTTTGAGGCATCCACATTTTCGATATGTAGAAGCTACTAAATTTTTAGATTAGATAAATATTATATTAAATAATAGAGCTTGTGATTTTATATTTAAATTTTTTTTAAATTTTTGTTGCATGTTGAACAATGTTCCTATTTATGTTTGCATGTACTTTTATTGCGTAAAAACATTTGTAATTCTTTATAACCAATACAACGTAAACTTTACAGAAAATGTCAGTATCCTGTCGATAAAGTTTTCAGTTGCAATATTCTGTTAAAGACGGTGGCGGCTCATAGCGGAAGTTCTGAAACTCGCAAAGTAACAGGTGTGAGTTATGGTAAACCATCTAGTCGAGATCCGAACCTTTTTCAATTGCTTCCTCTTTTTTCTTCTTTATCTTCTTGGTCAATATAGAATACTTTATGAAGTATTCACATGCCATGTCGCTCCAAAAATAATAATAGCCAGCTATCTTTTAGATTCTATAATTGGTTTGTTTTATAAATTTGCAAATTTGCAAACTTACATGAGTCATCTTTATCTTTTTTTTCATTTATTGTAAAATATTTTCTCTTGAAGCGACATCTTAAATCATACGCCACCATGATGATTCAAACCGACACATACCGATAGAGAAATCCCATAATTGGTCTACTAAACAAATTTATTCTTTGGCTAGTCTGTCGGTCACATTGTTCTCTTTGATAGATTTCATGAATCTAATTAAACGAGATCAAATGCATACTTAACAACTTAATAAAAAATTTTTCATACATAATTATGTAAAATTATATATAATTTTACATTATTATTATATATAATTTTTTATGAAATTTGTTTATACATGTTAATACATGTTACTTATATATAATTATGTATAATTATTCATATAATTTCATATATAATTTTACATTTTACGCATACAATTATATATAATTATACATAATTGTATATAATTATATATAATTTTATATGATTATACATAATTATACATAATTATGTATGGATAAATTTTATACATAATTATACATGAAAAATTTTTTACCGATAAGTTTTCAGGTAGTATCGTTAGATGGCGTTAGGCGGCAACGTACTTGTCAGTGAGCCACATTGCTGTTACTATGACAACCATGTTACCATAGTAACCGAGCATACCGTAAACAAACCTACTGTCACCTAGATTTCCGAATTGTCATCTGAGTTTACGAATTGCCATCACGTTTCCAGCGATTTTGTGATTATGTGATAAGAAAAGCGATTGTAGTTTATAAAAAATTTTACAATAATATATTAAAAATTCAATAATGTGATTGTAAAATTATAAATGATATGAAAATAAACAATCATCTAAGAAAACCTTTGTGTAAAAATTCCTGTTATATCGTGCCATGTCTTCTCCTCGAATTGACTTTATAAGCGGATCGAGGCGACGATCGCAGGACAAGCCCTTGGAGCAAGACTTGAGCCTTTGCTACGCGTATCCGATTATCGATCACGATCGAGAAACGAACAGTGTACTCACTAACGAGAAAAGAGTGTCGCGAATATCGAGCAACAGAGATACTTCAGCCGAGGATGGATTATACGTTCCTGAAAACCCGTTCACCGATAAAATAATCAAGCCTTATCAGCTCGATGACGTTCGCAAATTGGACTACGAGTCGCGAGAGCGCTTTCGCGGGAAAATCGTGGAGATCGCGATACGCGACGTTCATATTCACGAAGCCAGCGCGTCTTTCGAGATCACTTCAGTGTCTATACTGTTTAGGCAAAAGTTGATATGCAAGACGAGCCATCCCTTCAATCGGAAGCTGTGCAAATTATTGATCCGAAATGTGGAGAACCACAATCTGTCGATACAGGTGCACGCACAGCGTGGAGAGTCCAGCATCCTGCCGTTACCGTTACCGCGACGTTGCGTTAAAGATCACAAGGTGGAGGTGGATTTCGCGATCGGCGATAACTCGGGTAAGATATATGCCGGCACCGTCACCTGCACGGTTTCCTTGTCGAGGCAAGGCGAGGAAGAACGGAAGGAGAGCAATGCGTATCTCTACGCGGTCAGCAACGATCCGAACGATCCGCAAAACTGCCTCTCCCTGTTGAGACCGCAACGGAAACCAGCTAAAAAGAAGGATATCAAGTACTTCTTACTGCAAGATCCGGCGTTGATCTTCGACACGGAACTCGACACAGTTCGCAAGAGTCGCTCGCGAGAACACAAGCCGCCGGACATCGTCGTGACCGAGCAGCTGGCGTTCTCCGTGTTGGACGTGTCCCTGAAGAATCTTTTCCAAGCCAGTCGGCCGCTCAAACCGTCGTCCAGCACTCGTAGGCATCACACCATAGGAAAGACGATCCTCACCGTCACCGTTTTGAGAGGAGTGGAGGTGCCAGTAAGGGAGGAATCGGCGTCGGTCTCACCGCTTCTCGAGGTCGAGTGGGGCGACGTCATTCACACAACGTCGGTGGCAGACGGACCTGCACCTGTCTGGCAACAGACTATGCACTTCGAAATGCCGCGACAAAACGGCGAACACTGCGTGAAGTTCCGCCTGTACGACCAGCATCCGGTCTGGGGTCAACAGTGGTTGGGCGAGGCGAGAATTCCGTTGGAACGTCACAGAAACTATCAGGAACTCGAGCGTTGGCTCGCTCTGTCTCCCTTATTCAGTCCGGTGCTATTGTTCGGCTACGTGCAAGCCAGTCCTGGACAGTCGCACACCAGGATCTACGTGTTGATGAAGTTGGCGCAACCAGGAAACGCCAAGTCCATGGAGAGCAACGCCATCGACACTCTGTCCAAGGGTATTCAACGTTGCTTAGCGATACCTTGCAAAGTGGCCGGCGTGGAGACTCCTGACGATGCTGCGCGACTTGCAATGCTGTTGTCGTCGTTGCCCGTACATTACGGCCCGGTCACACCGCGTCAGGCTTTGAACGTGAATAAGGTGGATCATTATGGTCGAGCGGCTCTCTTAGCGACGCTGCTGCAGGGTTTCGGTTTGCATTCCTACGTGTTGTTAGGTATGCAAATTTTACTTTTCATTTGATTTAGATTTAATGAACAAAGTAGTCTAATAAGATACGAATGATGCAAATATTTCTCGTGAACAAATTATTGCAACACGAAATGTACGTTATTGACTTGTGTAAATTATAATATTTTTTCTTCCTTTAACACGTTCACTATATTTCACGGTATATTTTAAGGTCTTCCCTCACAAATCATCTCGTCCCTTTCAATGGGAATCCTACTTAGCGCTTCTCAATTATCAACATTTTTTACAATACCAAGATATTCCGGATACGAATATTATCCACCAAACCAATTGTAATCGAATTTCCGGTTCAATCAATTAAATTTGTTCATATCAATAAGCAGTAACTAATAGTGAGAAATTAATGGCACATTTATTTCGGTTTAATAAGCAGTAAATTTACTAAGTTAATTAAATTTACTAAGTTTATGAAATGGTTAATTTAATTTAATTAAAAATCCACTAAATCCAAATAAATCGTTAATTGAACATTCCACAATTGATTTACTCAAATCAACCATCAATTAGGTGAATTGAAATATTTTTATTCAAATCAATTATCAAATTAAAACAATTTTTATAGATTTTTCTACAATTCTGAATATATATATATATATATATATATATATATATATATATATATATA